CTAAGCATGAGCACAAAACAGAGAGCAAAGTAGAGGTACAGTGTAAAAACTCCATCTACAGTACAGCAAGGCTACAAAGCTCTCAAAGCTTGCTTTCAGTGATGTAATCCCACCAGCAAGGCGACATATCCTAAGCTTCCACAAAGAGTGGCATAGCTGACAACCAAGTGTTGAAATACCTAAGCTAATGGAGTCATTTGTCATTCACATCAACACACCATCTGCCCCTGCCTGATCCCCAGGTCAGGAAATACCTGCTTCCTCTAGGGTCTGAGGTTACATTTGATACTCCTAGTCTTTATAAGTAGCTTTCCTGAAGTGGAATTTGGGTTTTTGTTTTCCCAGAAGCTCTACCAAAAATGCTGGCCACAGTTAGTTTTATCTTGATATGGTTGAGGTGCTCTTGCTGGATGCTCAGGCCAGAGAGGGCAGGATGTTGAGGCTAGTGCAGTTCACTGGTGGGAAGCCAGAACAGGAATGACATACTTAGGAATAGATGATAGCATGAACCAGACAAACACTTGCACTGCAGAGTGTGACTTTGCAACACACTTACTCTTCTGATGTCTTTGTTAATGTTTCCCTTAGCTTCCAGCAAATACAAATTTATGGAAAAGTCAGGTACAGTGGAACACAACTATACTTCAAGCACTTCAGAGGCTAGGGAAAGAGGATCTGGAGCTGAAGGTCAACCTCGTCTACATAGGTTGTCTCAAAAATCAAAAACAAACAAAATACCAAGACCGACACAAAACAAGTCCACAACTAGATTCACAGAGAGCACCTGGGGCTGAGTGGAGGCTGGCTGCACCCAGAGGGAGAAACAAGGACTTCTACAGAGAGGAGTCTTTTGGGAGGGAGTTCAGGATTTTGCCCATGTGAGTGAGCCAGCCTCTCAGGCCAATGCAATGAGACAGGTAGACAAGCCATTGGAGTGGTACACAAGAGGTGTCCCTGCTTTGGAAATTCCAGTAAAGCTATAAAATAGGATGGCCTCTGGAGACAGCCGTGCATGGATGTGGGGTGCTTTCTACTTTTCTTGAGTGATTGTGGTCAGAATCTGATGTCTGCCTCTCTGGAGCTGCAGAGTAAGCTTAGCATATGCAACTGGATGTATATGGGTGTGTTAATAACGTTAACTCATTTGTCTTCAGAGGTCATAACTAAGTGGGGTCTCAGGAGTTCTTTATGTCCAAACTGCTGGATGGGAAAGGATCAAATACAAAGGGAACAAATTGGTTCCCAGTGACTGAAACCAGGCATTGAATAGCCCCATGGCAGCTCCAGGACATCACCAAGTGGAACTCCTGTATACCACAAGCAAAGGGAAAAGCCAACTCTTGACTATTCTATCCTACTTAAAAAGGAGGCTTCAAGGCCATCTTCAGATCAGTTCTCATTCAATTTATGTGAGAAGATAGCCACCCAGGTTTTCCAAGTGCAGTTGTTTTTAGATGTTGCCCAGAGAGACCCACCTGACTCCATGATGAATGTTCATACTCCCATGACCCAAAGGTGTGACCAGTAGGAGCTCCTACACAATACTGTGTGTAATGCCAGTCTTTTAAATGTACTGAATGTATTATGGATAAGAACATGTTGCTGTGAGTTCTGCAGAAACCCATTGAATATCTTCAGAACTTTCTTGCAAAGAGCTTCTGTGACCAGCTTCCCCTTGGTCTTCTTTTGAGCCCCTTCTCCTGTTTGGGGGTGGGATAGGAGACATCCCTACAGTTGCCTCTGAAATAAAAATAAAAAATGTAGCTCATTGTGCCTTCTTATCTTCAAGAGTCAAAGCTTCCTGTATTCTGTGCTGTCATTCCTGACATGTAGTGGGTGGGCCAGCTTCAAGGGGCAGAGGACAAGCCAGCTGCAGGGCTGTCCACCCCACTCAAGTTACTGGCCCTGTAGACCCTGCTGTTTATCTTGCACCTGTTAATGACCTCCACTGAATGTGACCATTACACCAGCCTAACCACCAAGATTTTTTCCACAGACAGAACCGAGTCCCCACCAGCCCCAGGAGCAGTTGCTGGGTCCGTGGCCACATTGCCACACCTCATTGCTGGACCGCCTGGATGCCCTGCTCTGAGGATAACTTCTGCTCCAGGTCAGTGAGGAGCAGACGATCGTCAGTTACTCTTTAACCATTTAGCCCCAGTTTTGACACTCATATGGTACAAATGTGGTCACTTGTTTTGGACTATTAGATTTCCTTCTGCCAGTATTGCAGGAGCCTTTGGTTACTTATTAGCTTTATAACTCAGTATTGTCCCTTTATGGAAAATTGAGTAGAAAGATCAGATGTAGTTGAAACTCATATCATGTCTTAACATTTTTATAATTTACTCATTTTATTTTCTTATTTTTTTATACATCCCAACTGTAGTTTATCCTCCCTTCACTCCTTCCAATCCCTCCCACACCTCTTCCCTAGATCCACTCCTGTTTCCCTTTAGAAAAGAGCATGCTTCCTAGGGATGTCAGCCAAACAGGGCTAACAAGATGCAATAAGACTAGGCACAAATCTTCATATCAAAGCTGGGCAAAGCAATCCAGTAGGAGAAATGGGGTCTCAAGAGCAGCCCCACTCCTACTGGTAGGAGTCCTACAAAAATACCAAGCTAACAAGTGTAGCACATATGCAGAGGACCTAGTGCAGACCCATGATTGCTGCTGCAGTCTCAGTGAGTCCCCATGAGCCCTGCTTAGTTTTTCTGTAAGTTGTGTTCTCCCAGTGTTCTTATCCCCCAGCCCTGGTTCCTAAAATTCTTCCTCTTCCTCATCCTTGGCATTACCTGAGATCCAAAGAGGGGGACCTGATGGAGATCTCAAATTTGGGCTCTCTTTCTGCCTAATGTTTGGCTGTAGATGTCTGCCATCTGTTCCCATCAACTGCCATGGAGACCTCTCTGAGGACAACACATCTTGACGTACTCTAGCAATTGCTCAAATCTTGAGTTGTGCTAAGACTGTTGTGTTTGCTGTTAAGTGGGTGAAGTTTTGTGAAGGAGTAAGAATGTGTATACTGAAATAAGGTTGTTTTTAATTTAAATAATAAATAAATAAAAGCAAACTCCAAAATAAATGTGTATATTGACAGAATTCCAGGACTTTGGGGAATTTGGAACTATAGGTGGCCAGTGGTCATTTGGTTTGTGAAGTTTGGGTAATTTTAGCTCCTTTAATTTTTTTGTGATGACTGATTCTGAATGGTTTATTTTCTGCACTGTTCTATGGTTGCAAGAGATGATTCACCCACCTACTGTGGGCCTCCTAGCTCTACATGGAAGTCACTCTGCTGCTAAGAGCTCATGTGACTTGTCGTCTCTTTTGATGTCCTGTTTACTGGTGCTGACCTTCATCTCCACAGACTTCACACACTCTGTCCTCAAGGAAGGATTTGGAAACTACAATGAAAAGATGAATACACTCATGGCCAACCTCAACTGTGATGTCACACATTGCCTGAACTCCCCATGCAATACAATGAGATGGCCCATTCTCACTCTCCCTATACACTGATGGACCAATCAGTGTTGGTTTTTGATAGGACTACATCACACCAAGATGATATAGTTAAGTGATGTAAACCCATAGACTATGCGTAGAAATTGAAGTTTAACGTGAAATACAGGCATCAAGTGTACATGACTCTCAGCCAAGCTGTTTTGAGGGCATCCCCAGGGTAGAAATCACTGTAAGGGTCAATGTCCTAGAGCTGAGTGCATGGCCTCTGGAGCCTGCTTCCTCTATACCTTAGGGTTCTGGTATGTCAGTTTGGGGACTATGGCCCCACAGGGACTCCTGTTTACCTCAAAATGGGTAATTGCTCTCTGAGGGCCACTCCCTAGCAATCTCAGTGTCCACCCCAAGGGGGAGAACCCACCTTAAGGTCAACAGAAAACAATAGAGACACAGGGCTCTAACATTGTGACCACACTGCATAGTCTCCATGATATGAAGACATCTTGGGCATAGACGAGCACCCAGCAACAACTTCTGCTTTCATGTGAGTTGATCCTGCCTCTACTCACTTCTTCCTTTGGGGCACCTACCTTCTCTGCTTTTCCCTTTTTGTTTTGTGTCGGGGGAGGGATGATTGTCAAAAGACATTTGGTTTTGTCCTGACCTATTTCAATATTTTTTTTTTTAAAAAAAACTGTTACCAGAAACACTTTGCTTCACAGTTTCAGTTTGCAATTTTAAGAGTTTGCTTCTGTAGGTCTGCTTTGGGACCTATCTGGGCTGTTGATCAGTATTGAACAGAAATCTTGCCCTGTGGCTTAGCTCTAAGGCAGATCTAGATCTCTGAGAGAGGCAGGGTGGTTTCCTGTGAATCTGGTGCAGAGTTCAGGGCTCAGAGCCCCCTGTGCTCCAGAACTGCAGACAGACAGGATATTTGGGGGCTCAACGGAGAAGCCCTGTGTGCTGTACAAAGCCATCGGGCATCTGCAGGGAATGCTGACAGCCCAGCCTTTGCATTTGCAGGGACAAGTGCTGGCCCTGGAGACTCTGCCTTGCTTGGTTCTTCGGTGGTAGGAGGTGGGGGAGGTATCAAAAGCTCAGGTCCTGCTCTCAAGCTCACCTTGCAGGAGAAAGGCACTGATCTGTGCATTCACAGGGAAGAAGACACACTTCCTTGTTCAGGGCATACTTTTGTGTGAGTTCTTTGTTTCCATGTAGTCAACAGCCCACCTGTGAATCTCCTGGAAGGCTCTGGGACATCTCAGTCCCATGGAGACGCTGGAGAGAGCAGAGCTGCTTTACCACATGCTGATCAGTCCACCTGTTTCTTGGCCCGAGAGGTTTATACGCTTTGAAAAGGCCTGGGTGACTAAAGATATGCTGAGAAATAATGCCATTTTAATTATGTGCTTTCTACAGCAACAACAACCATGACAAGCAGTCCTGGTCACACCTGTCTGGACCCTATGTGAGATGATGGTGTCCTCTTGACCATACCTGTGGCATACTAATTCCCAGTGGCTCACTCTCCAATGGCAATGAATAATTACACGTCTGTGGTAGAGTTTGTCCTGCAGGGATTCTCTGGGGATCCTGGGTTCCAGGCTTTCTTCTTAGCCTTCTTCTTCCTTTTTTATATCCTGGCTCTTGCAGGAAACACCCTCATCATCATGGCCATCAGCCTGAACCCAAGTCTCCACACCCCCATGTACTTCTTCCTTGCAAACCTGGCCCTGTTGGACATTGTGTGCACATCCACAGTTCTTCCCAAGCTGTTGGAGGGTCTGGTGGGTAAGGGCAGCCACATCTCTTATAAGGGATGCATGACCCAGCTTTTCTTCCTAACCTGGTTTCTGGGGGCTGAGCTGCTGCTGCTCACTGCCATGGCCTATGACCGCTATGTGGCCATCTGCCGCCCACTGCACTACAGCATGCTGATGAGTCGACCCATCTGTGTCCTACTCGCAGGCAGTGTGTGGCTCATCAGTGCAGTCAGCACGTCTGTGCACACTGGCCTAATGGCGCAGCTCGATTTCTGTGGCCCCAACAAAATTCGTCACTTCTTATGTGAAATCCCAACACTGCTGCTGCTGTCTTGCAGCCCAACTACACTCAACAACATCATGATTGTCATTGCAGATGTTTATTTTGGTGTGGTCAACTTCCTATTGACCATGGTATCCTACAGTTTCATCATTGCCAGCATCCTGCGCATCCGCTCTGCTGAGGGCAAGAGGCGTGCCTTCTCCACCTGCTCTGCCCACCTGGTGGTGGTCACCCTGTATTACTCCACTGTCATCTATACCTATGTGCAGCCTGGCTCCGGGTCCTCCTTGGAAAATGGCAAGGTGGTTGCCTTATTGTACACAGCAGTCAGTCCTATCCTGAACCCCCTCATTTACTCTCTGAGGAATAAAGATGTCAAAGTGGCTCTCAGGAAGGTGTTTCCATGTGTCTGTTGATGAACTAGTGGGAACATATGACTGAGAATCTGATGCCATGGCAAGGAACAGAATGACAGTTCATGTGACAGATGTAAATGTAATGTGCCTCTCTTGGAGGAGCCACGGCCATTCCTTTTGTGAGTGTGGGCATCCAGGTTTGGGGCAGGCTGCATGTCTATCACCTGGTGTCTCTGATGTAGGGGGTTTTGGCATCCTGTGTTGGAGAAAACCACCCAGACATTGATATTGGACTGGAGTAGGATTGTGTCTGGTAGCTCCATGGTCTCTGCACCACTGAGAGGAGAGAAAACAAGCAATCTGCCTCCCATACCAGTGATGCCCAGGAAGTGGTGGGTTGACTTCCCAATTTCTCTTTAGCTGGGAATCTCTGACATCATAGCAGAGGGAGCCAGACTTTTCTTAGAGTGCACAGAAGCCTCCCCAGTGTGACTCGGGATACATTCTAACTCTGGCCTCTGAATGCTGTGTCCACAGGATCCTCCTGGACTCCATTTTCTCCTCCAGGGAATTTCCTCTAGGATGTGATAAGACCTGCATCATTTGTTGCTGATGTTAGCAACATCCAAATGTACAGCTGCCTCTCTGTCTCTCCTCTGAATCCATTGGTGTAGCTGGAAGACCTTGATTTCTTTGCTAACTGCTTGTTTGTGTGGCGATCAGAGTACCAGGTTACAGGAACCAGCCCTTTCCATCTACCCAGGGGTGTCTAAGACTTGAACTCTGGTTATCAGGCTTGACAGCAAGTGCCCTACCATCTCACCTGCCCTACACATTTGTTCCCAAGAGGTGTTTTCTACCCTGTATCCAGGGTTTTAATGTCCACAGCACCTTACCGAAAGAGTTCAAGCATAGTGAATTGGACAGGACTTAGCAGGCCACCGGAGTACTTGTCACCATGGCTCTATTGTTAAGTTGTTGCTCGATATGTTACCCAATGTATTTGCCTACCTGTCCATCTATCTTACTCATTTCAAAACAAGCTGCAAACATTGATTCACTCTTGCTTAAATACATTCATATGCATAGCAGAGGCCATCTTTTGTTGATAGATTATTATTTTTTATTTCTTAGGTAGAGTTCTTGAGGTAAAATTTCAGACAGTGAAATGCACAAGTTAGGATATCATTTACTGGGTTTTGGCACACACACACCCACATCCACAACCACACACACAGCTACCCACACACA